ATCAGCTTACAATGCTTTTTACAGATTTTTTAAATTTCATAGGATCTACCGCTACGTATCGCACAAGTCTATATTTTGGAAATATTGAGATAATACCCTAAGCTGATTTTAAACCTAAAAACAAATATCACCATTCGACTCAGCATGATGAGTTACCCCCTCCCAGACTGGTTCCCAGATGATCCAAGGTCAATTGGCTGAAATCAGGGGTCTCAGGAAAACTCTTATAACTCTTGAACGGAACAAGCTAGAAAGGCGGGCTTTTCGTACATCGAAAGAGAACAATTTTTTCTATCAAAAACGTAAATTAACAATCGAGCAAAGTTGAGAAACAGCTCCAGAATACCGTGCTCAACATTTCCATCGAGAATGGATCTCATTGGTCCATTGCTGACCAATTATATTTTACCATGTGTGGATGCCCCTGGGCGTTTTCTTTCTAATGGTGAAAACCGCAGGTCGCTAGCTACATCCGTTCAGGATATATTCCTTCTTGAGTTTTCTCCATCTACTTCTGGCGCCGACATTAATTAATCTTCATAGTTTGCGAGTTTTTTTTTTTGAAAGAGGATTTCAAACTTCAAAAATGACCCTCGATCGTAAAATAGCTATATTTGTGTAACTATAAAGAAATCTGAACTACAGCTTGCTGAAAAGAAATAGAACACTTATGTCTCACGCATTATCCAGGAAAAGAGGCTTAAATTCGTTAGGTGATCAACATTTGGTAATAACAATGTTCACATAAATTTAGAAGTTCGTAGTTATCATCGTTGAGCAATTGTACTGAAAGAGTTAAAGGATAAGGAACTGTTAGAAAATGATTGACATTCTTTTGCTTTGTTCTAAGTTTTAGAAAACTCTATATATCTAACTGTTATTCAAAATTCATATTTATTTCACAAATTGAATTATAATCTTTACTTTTATGAGCTTCCATCGTCATTGATTCGGCATGAAAAGTTTCAAGTTGATTAATAGCATTATTTTCAGCTGCTTGTCTTTTTTGTTCTTCATAGTCTTGTTTGATTTTTTTAGACATCTTTAAAAAAAAAAATATTCAAATTTTCACATATATATATATGTGAATTGCAACTTTTGGGTACGATTAGTAAGAAAAAATTGAAAGTAGATCTAAATTATATATTATAAAAAAAACTTTTTAATTCAGAATCTATGTTCGAAATAAAAGTAGGATATTTTTTTAACAACGAAATAGATTCAATTGTATAAAATATTATTCATTTTGGCTCACTCTCAACTAAAATACTTGATGAAAAATGTTGTCTTTTTTACTATCAAATAGGAAAGCCATTAGGAACAAACTTTTTTTTAAAATTAGTTTTATGCTTCGAAACATGATCTTTCTTTCCAATCACTTCGTTTCTTTTCAACTTGCACGCAGATGAAGAAAATCGAAAAATAATGTCATCCTACATGAAAATATAAATGTATCCAGCAAACAGTATTTCGGATGAATGAACATAGAGAAAGAAAGACATATGATTCGACAGAACACTTCGAGCTCTACAAAATGAGCTATTCATTATCTTTTTTTTCTTGCCCTCAGCTTATTACTACAGAGATATTGTAGTTTTTGGTGTTTTTTAAGTAAATGCTATGGTCTAAAAGAACTGTTTTCCGAATTTTAAGTGAAAACATTGCATACGGACAGTCCTTAAGAAAAGTCGTTTACTGTGAAAGTTTCAGGTCTTTTCGCTGCACGACATTTATTTAAAAAATACCATAAAAATGAAGTATATTTTTAGCAATAAGTTAAGGGAAGGAATTATTTTTAGGATTTTCATCACTCATTTGGATCTACATAATTGCACATAGTCTCGACTTAAAAACGTTTGAGCACTTGAAAAACTTGCCTCGTTAGTACATCTATCTACGATCGATAAAATGCTTGTAAATCATATTTTTTGTCTATAAAACTTGGTAGAAGTAAACATCAACTACCGCTCAGCAACAGTTAGGCATAGTTGAAGTTTCAGAGTATTTTAGTCTTAGTACCATGGTTTATTGAGTCAATTTAAATACTCTTTTTTTTACGAAAATGATCAATTCAACGAGTTCTATAGACGAAAAAATCTTCTGATAACCTTGTATTTTTTGCAGTTTGCTATCCATGAAAACATATTTTAAAAATTGTTCAAATCAATCAATAGAAACAAAAGATATAAGTCAAATACGCATAAAATCTTAATCGTACTAAAAAAGCTGCAATTCACTCATATTTTTATTCTTTCTACTAACATCATTCGTTAATTTTGAATAATAAACTTGAAATTTAATTAAATAATATTCTGTATAAAGCCATAGACGTTGTACTATACCATGTATATCATCAACTGTTGGTGAACATTTACGAAGATGATTTGCTAAATTATTTGATTCATCACTAAAGATATAGAAAATTAAGAAATAAAATAAAAATAAAATAAAATTTCATACGTATCTAAAGTATTTCCACTTGCTAAATCAAGTTTAATTTGTTCAAGTAAAATTCGTGCACATAAAAAATGATTTGAACCATCACCAAAAAATTGTTCATATAATGATCGAACTAATGCGCGACGTTCATCAATCATTTGTGTAGATTTTATACTTTAAAAAAAAAAGAATAAAAAATTTGAATTTAAACAATTAATTAAATAGAAAATTTCATTTACTTAGCATTTCGATATTCATATAGTTCGCATAGTAGAAAATCTTTTGCTTTTGTACTTGTACGATTAAATGATGATGGTATAGCAACATCAAGGAATGAACGTAATTTAAGTTTTGATTCAAAAAATTCTTTATTTTTTTTTTCAACATCACGTTTAAATTTTAACCATTGAATTATTAATGGACGAAAATCATTTATTGTTGGATAAAGATCAATTATTTGTTTAACAATTTGTATTAAAAATTGTAAACATTCAGCTAATAGACCATTGAGACGATAACTTTGAAGAAATTGTTCGATAATTGTATTTAATTGATTCTATTTGAAAGAGAAACAAAAAAAAACAAACAAACTGTAAGAAGATAATGAAATAATTATAATGTTAAACATTACGATTGAATTTGTATCATTTGAATTTAGTTGAATACGAGCAAGAAGTTGTTTAATAGCAGTTTTATAAGCCGATGATGAAGAACTCATGCTTGTTAGTTTGTCAAGCAATGAGAAAATGAATAGTTTTTTTTCTTTCGTTTATTCATTCATTGTCGATCGATCGAACATACCGACTGATTTTTTTTTTTAATGAATCATTCAAGTCTTTAAAAACAAAGTTTTATGAAATTTTTATTAATGAATTTTACTTGAAAAAATTTCTATGAATTGAACTTTCATTTAAAAAAGTTTTAATGAATTTTCAAACAAAAGAAGACTGTGATAGATGACGCTATTCTTTATAATTCTTTGTTCTTTTTGAAATAAAATTTTCCAACGTTTTTCATTGGTGCTTAAAATATTATTCGTTCTACTGGATGGTCTTCTTTTCCTATAAAGATATGGTCAGGCAATTGTCCTTTCCCCTTCCATTGCTTTATTTTTCTCGTTACACCATTGTTTTGACAGTTGCTGAGATTTGGTAATTCATTAAAAAAACTAAGAACAAAATTATGCAGATAAAAATATTTGTATCTAATTTAAGTAAAGCTTTGAATATTTCTTTTTTGTGATTTATCCAATTAATAAATGTGATTCTTGCGAGAATCCGCTCAGATTCATAGTAGATTTGATTGAAACTTTAAATTCCAGCTTGAATAATTCTGTTTTTTTCTCGTAGTTCCAACCCAGATCTTGGTCAGATTCTATAGGACTAAGACTACAACTAGTCTCACATATTTCTACTCAGCATCTATCGTTCATTATCATCTTGATTTCAATGACACAGGGTAATATGCTATCGCATTTTGTTTTGTCTTACCGAAGGTAGCAAATCTTGTCGATTCGTGTCAAGAATTTTTTATAACGATATCGACTCATGTATTATGATAATGACGAAGAGAACCAAGCAATACCGCTTTGTAGACAAATTATATAAATAGAATTTAAATACAAAACACTACTTAATAACGTAATGGTGAATTTGACCAATAATTCTAAGACTTTTTTGGAGCAATAAGTTGTTGTGTTCTTATGTTAGTTGCTTGGTGTTGATTGCAGTAAGGACCAAATTCGAGTCTTTGGGTCCGGCGCATGCCATAAAGGCATCAAAACGTGACATTAACAAGTTCATCTGCTAGCATTTAGTAAAATCGAACTTGTCTAGGAAGTACTTTCTGAATGCTTAATAAGAATCGAAGAAAAAGTGAATATGTTTATCTATTCAGCATCTGAATTTATTCGCCTCCAAATCACATCAATATCAGTATGATTGATTTGTTAAAAAAAAACAATTAATGAACCAAAAGTAGACGATTTTGGAAAATTAATGAAATCCTAACAGATAAGTATTTTATTTATTAATATGGCAAAGACAGATAGAAAACCCTATGTTTATTCAGAGTTTTTTAGTAGCAATCAACTGACGAAAAGTTACATAAGTAAAAAACATCGCAGAAAAATGTCAAAATCAATTTCTATTTTCGATTCATAAGACATTTTATAAATAATAACTTTATTACAATGATCTTGTAATAAATAACTCTTGACTTCTATTCTACAAATCCACTTAACTCATTGTTAATGTAGAATTTTCTTGAAAATAAATTCTATCAAATCTAATTGTTTATAATAGAGAATTATTTTTTCGATAATTAAATGGAGTTCAATCTTCATCGTTTGTGCTACGGTAGAATGATCTAAAAATTAGTCTATCTCTTTTTATTTTTGGTAACGTATTATTTATTTTTTTTGACATAATACACAATGTAAGAAAATAACCACTAAATTTCGAAAAATAAACGTACTTATTAAGTTTTATTGCTTTCAAAAATATTTGGATATTTTGACTTCAAATGTTGCAATCTTACGTTTAGATAGAGACATGTCTTTAGAAGTGGCTTCGCCAAGGTACCGAGACCAGATAGAAATTTATTTATGAAATTAATGAAGAACTTGATGCTGAACGATTTGTCATCTGAACAGTTCGTCACAACGCTATAGTTCAATTATTAGTTTCTGTATTGCTGAATGGCTATTTCAGCTATAAATGATAAGTTGAACAGGAGCTTTTGAGTTATATAGGAGATGATTGGTCCATAGTGATTGTGTGTAATCGGTTGTATCTAAGTTACTAGCTTTATATTCATGCGTGTGCATGACATCGAATTCTATCCATGATTCGATAGTTTCATCACCATACTAATATTGTTAACGGATTCTTCAGGACAAGACATATATTTTTTTCTCTGACTGGTCCCAAAACGAAAAGTCCTTATTCGATTATATTATTTGTGATGGTTGTAGTCATTCAGAATGACGAAGACTATTCGAATTAATAATTGAATTATAGTGTTGCGATTAACTATTCATGCTACACATTGTCCGATTACCAAGAATCTGACTGAGAATGAATGAAACAATAACATATTACTTAAAATGAACAAATCGATCTAAGTCAGATACAAAGTCAGAAACTTGAATTCCATTCATTGCTTTACCCTGGAAAGCTTGCGCAAGTTTTTTCCTTCCTTCCGAAGCATCACCAGTAAAAACGAGACATTGATTATTGAAACCAAGTTGTCTAACTTGATAAATTAAACGAACACCTGCATTATCAGTGGGTATTTCATTTTCTCTATTCATATCTGTAACAATACGAAATGTTTCATTATGTTTAAGTCGTTGTCAAAATTCTGAACGAAGAAATATCAATGCTGCTGTTGTATTGGATTTTGGTATAAAATGAACATTTATTTCAGTACCAAGTGTACTTGCTCTTTCCATATGTTCTTTATTTTCCCACCAATCATCAAATATATGATCGTCGACCCATAAAATAACATATTTGCATAGACCAAGTTCTATCTATAATAAACATATTATTATTCATTAGACAATTAATTATAAAGAAGAATTTCGACTAACCTGCCTTAAATAAATATGATTTTTTCCACAAACTTTTTCTACATGACAAACTAAAAATGATGAATGAGGTAAAAAAAGAACTTCATCTTCATCTTCAGCACAATTAGAAAATTTTTGTATGCTTCGACCAGTTAATGAATAAATAAAAAAGATTGTATTACGTTCTTTAAACCAATCGGGTGCTGCTAAACCTTTATTTGAGCTACTAAATTGAAGCCATGTTATCAAAAAACCAGGTTGATAATCATCAAGTTCTTTTGAATTTAATTCTACACATCGTGTTGCTACACCCCAATAAAAATCAATATGTGATAAACCTTTTATAAGATAATACATTATCATAGCAGCTCTATCATCAATTTTAGCTATTTCAGTATTTTTTGAAGCATTTCGATTTTGATTTCGTACAATAAGAGCAGCATTTTGATTAAGTGCTTCACTATACGTACCAGTATAGAAAGAAATAGCAAATGCATAAGCAAGTGCTTCATCAGTATCAACACCTTTTTCAACAAAATAATTAAATGATCGTTGACATGTAGCATAATGCATTTCCATATGACATTCTTTTTCAAAATTACTGCAAGCTTGACGTAAGAGATCAAATGATGGTTCTCTTGCTTCATGTATCATTTTTTCGAGTGTTGGTCCAAGATTATCTTCGAATACTGCATATTCTTCACGTTTATCAACAAGTTCACTTAAATTTTGATAGAGTACAGCGTCATCAATACAATATTCAACGGCTTCTGATTCATATCCACCTCCATGTGGTTTTTCATCTAAGCCAGGCACAAAACCGATTAAATGTATATAACAACAATGTGCAGCTCGAGCTTTTGGATCATCATTATGACTACTAGCTTCTTGAATCTGTTTAAATAATTCCATATTAGAATAACGACCTTTTAAGCGATGTGCTTCATATTCATGTAGAATACATGATGACGATTCTTTCGCTACATCGATAAATCGTGTCATAGCTAGTGAAGTATTGTTGAATATTCAAAGTATAAATCTACAATGAACAAAAATAATAGACTTAAAATAAAATGTTAAATAGAAATAATATAATTAAATTGTTTTTAGACTAAATATATAACTATCGATTAATGTCATATTCTGTATGCTTGAAAAAAAAATATATTGAAAGAAAATTCTATATCTATGCCGAATTCTTTTACATCTGAATCAAATAAATTTTTCAGTTAATTTCAAATTTTTACCTTGCATTTATTCTGATTAAAACGAACAGATGTCTGTGCTTGGGAATTTGAACTGCTATAAGAAAAAAAATACAAAATGTTACTTATCAATTTCGATGACGTCAACTGTTGTGAAAGAAAATGCACGTATTAGTTTGAAGCATTTCTTCGCAACTCATACGTTTTGCTTTTAATCATAATCATGCTATTCACGTGACGTTATTTTTTACAAGAAATATAAAAAGAAAAAAAAACTTTTATAATAGCAAAAATGTAAGCAAGCATATCCAAATTCAATTGTGAGGATTTCTGCAGCTTCTTGCATTTGTTTTTGCTCGAGGAAAAAGCCAGCTATATTTGTGAAGTTGTTCTCGTTCTGATTAAACATTTGGTAAGGTTTGAATAGCATAGTTTCTTACTGTTGTTTAAAAGTGCCTTTTACTTTCGTTTTCATACATGTACAGCAGAGATAGGATCGGTTTGGTTCGGGCTGGACAAAAAAAAAGCGCCAATCAATTCCATCTCTGACTTACAATACTTTAAGAAAAATTTCACGTTATATGAAGTTCTATGCAAACGAATGTTTAAATGATTTTGTTAATTTTTGGATTAGTTATTGTTGTGTATTTCATGCATGTTTTCTTTCGATTCTAATTAAATTTTATTATTTTTTGATTGACTCAAAATTTAGCGTTATTTGAAGTGACGATCAAATGAAAGACTGAATGCGTTGCTAATTGTTTATTTTTGCCTTCAGCAAGAAAAAACGCAATTATTATTGTTATCTATTTGAATTGATGAGAAGTTATCGAAGTTATTCAAATATGCAATTTTGAAGAACGAAGAAAAAATGTCAATGGTAATACTTGATCTTCAAAATAAGAAGGCCAATTTGATGTGATAGCATCAAAATTTTTCGACTTTAGTTTATACATACATCTGATAGCATCAAAATTTTTGTGAAACACGATCTGAAAGGAGTGCTGAAGTGTTTAGGGGCAGAAATTGCCCCCCCCCCCACAGACCGTGACAGAGAAACAAAATACCCATCACAGACTGTGACAGACAATCCAGGTACCCATCACAGACCGTGACAGAGAATCTCCCTACCCATCACAAGCCGTGACAGAGAAACTGTAGTTGTAAAGCATCAGATAAACGGTTAGCTACAAATGTAGCGCAACATAGTTGAATGATAGGATTTCCATTCAATTAGTAATAGTAGAGCCCTCGTGTTTCACAATTTTTAATCCCGCAAGGGATTGTGCTAACAGCTTTTCGACTTTAGTTTATACATAGATCTGATTAAACTCAAATCCTTGTCATAAAAGTAATATTCTATCTAACATTAGAATATTTTCAAAATCCTAAAGTTATAACAGACAAACAGTTTTCTTGAAAGAGTTACAAATCGGTAGAATTTTGTTCAAAAGTAAATAGACATAATGGATTGATTGTTGCTTTTGTTATGTGAAACAGAAACCCCTGGAACTATCCTGCGCTTTAGCGCACGCCTATGCCTCGTTGCGCAAATCTTAACGGAGCGCAGCAGGTTTCTGTAGAACTGTCTTCGAGCTTTCGAAGCACGTTCGTCGGACAAAAAAGAAGATAGATGTATATAAATTATGTTCGATGAATCATTACATAATCAATTTCTTTCATAAAAATTAATGCGAATACATTTGCATATCACTAAGAAATCTACCCAATTTTTATTTGACAAAAAATTACAGGCCTATTTGAAAATTGAACTAGATGGCATCGAAGATTACCGTAGAAAATGAGAAAAACAACAAACAAATTTCACAGAATAAATGAAGTAAGTTAACAATAACACGCATTATTTTATTGAGATAATAGAACGAAGAAGAGATGTCAACGTCAACAAGATATTATCATTAGTGCTTGTGGCCCATGATATCGTGACTTTAATCGAACAATTATTTGTCTACTTAAAATGGCACAAATAACTAGACTGGATAATCAACACCAAAAGCGATTTTCTTTTCTTCATCGTAAGAGTTGACGTAGTAAGTCTACTCAAGAAGAGTTTTGACCATTTAAAAGTCCACATTGTGATCCTTTCTTTTGATTGAATTGAATGATTTAGTTACTTAGTCATTTGAGTTTGTCGAGTATCTTTTCATTGGACCCATCTTTTCTTCTTTCTCGCCGCAGATCGTGACAGATAGACGGCATGATATTATGGTTTTACAAGTTAGGGAATTATGAATTGTTTTGCTCATGATTCTTGGGACACTATCAAGGATACGTTTAAACAATTAAAAAAAGTTCGGAAGATTTTAATATCACTATCCTATTCAATATCTTTGGTCATAATGTATTCAATGCATGTGTGGTTTGCTATTGAAATTTTCAGAATGAACAGGGTTCATGTTTTAACACATAAGTTTCTTTAAATTTGGAAGCACGATGAGAAATATTTTATCGAAAAATGGAAGTTACGTCAACTTGTCTACTAGCAAATTCATGCAGTTCTTTTTCAACTGAGTAACTTTATGTTGCCATCAAACAATGGTTAGTAACGAGCTTCCTCACATACAAAAAAAAGAAAAAGAGTATCATATATACTCAATAAGAATTTTCATTTCTTTCAGCATCATCTGTAGGATATTAGTAAAAAAACGTTTCCAATTTATTCCTACGATATTAAAATGTCAAATACGGTGGTGCCACTTTAATTGTACAAATTTCAACTCATAACTATTCTGACGAAAAAACTTTTGTCAATTAATTAAATATTGTGAATCAATATTTAAAATCGAATTGTTAATATTACTTCACTTTTTTTTCAAAATTTCTCAAAACAGAACAGTGGCATTGAGTCATCAATTACGATGACGCATTATTAATATTTCCCCATAATAAAAAACCCACAGAACGAATACATTGTCTTCTGTATTTCAATCAATGTTTTTGCGAGCAATAGTTCTGTTGTCACGCAGTCATCGATGTGTGCAGCAGAAAATGAATGGATGAAAAGAAGTTTTGTTATTTAAATCTGAACTCTTTTTGTTTAGTTTTAGAAAATTTGAATAGGCCTGACGATGATTACAAGTGACAAGTACGAGTATGTGAATAAGGAGAAGATTGACAAGCAATTCATATGTACATTATGTCATCTACCTTTCGTCGATCCCGTTTCGACTCGCTGTCTACATGCATTTTGTCGTCGATGTATCACCAATAGACTCGTCGAACATCTTTCGTGTTCCATATGTAATCAAGTATTGTTGAACAATGATCTGATGGAAGTTCCTGTATTTATCAACAATATACTCGATTGTTTTCTTGTTAAATGTGTCGCTTGTGGACAGACAGATATCAAACGAAGTGACTTTAATAATCATATAAATGAAATTTGTCCGAAAACAATTGTACCATGTTCAGCTGTCGATATTCGGTGTCCATGGACGGGACATAAGAAGCAACTGGGCGTTCATATAAGTTCGTGTCATTACGAACACATCCGACCGGTACTTGCTGAAATTCTGGCTGAGAACAACGATCTAAAGCAAAATAATGTTCAATACGAGACTCACATTGAGTTACTTAAAAAGAAACATGCACATCTCAATGATCAGTGTACAAAAGATACAGCAATGATTGCGCAATTGAGTGAAGAAATGGATCTCTTAAGAAGTAAGTTTTCTTAAATCATTTTTCCGTCAAAAATTCTCTTAAGACAAAATATTAAATCATTGTTTGGCATAATTCGATTGAGAACTTTGCAAATGATATTTTGAGAGAATTGTGATTGGTTTGGAATTAGAAATTGAATAGTCATGTTTCTTATTTCAGAAACAATTTGTCATCATAACAAAACTCTTGAAGATAAAATCAATAGCTTTTCAATGAGCACACGGATTGACTTACGTATGCTCCAAGTGTCCGATCTAGATATGGGCATAATAGCTCAAATGGCTGTAATCAATAAGCAATGCACTGAGCTGGAATTACAAGGAAATCAAATCACTGATCGTGGCGTCTCAATTTTAGAGCACAGTTTACATGATAATACATCAATGACCAAGCTCAATCTTAGTCACAATCCGATTACGGATGTTGGAGTTGAATTGCTCGCAAATCTATTATCAAAAAACAGAACAATGATAGGAAAACTTTATCTTAGCGATACGAAGATCACCGATCAAGGAATCGAGTATTTGGCTAACATGCTCGAAGAAAATACGTCATTGACTTCTCTCGGTATTTTTCAGAATCAGTTGACTGATCGAGGGATTCAAAAGTTGGCCAATGTGCTTGTTACGCACAATACCAGTCTTAAACGGCTTTATCTTCAATCAAATCGATTGGTGACAGATGCATGCGTCGATGATCTTGTTGAAATGCTTATAAACAATGAATCATTAATAGAACTTGATCTGAAAGAATGTGGACTAACGCCAACAGGTATCAAACATCTTCGACAAGCTGCAAATAGAAAGAATTTTAGCTTGACGTGTTAAATCTTCTACGTAGTACTAATGATCATATCATGAAAATAAATAGTTTAAATCAGAAGCAAGATATTTTCAGAGTTAAAATATTTTGCATAAGCATAAGTTCTCTATTCATTAGTTTTGGTTTTAACTTTGATCTAAAAGAAAGCTTGAATACTAGTCAAAATATCATAAAACATATAGATCAATTTTGAATATACGGTTAAATAATTTTTATTTTGCTAAGATACAAACAATCAGCATCAGACTCATCTTTAGACGCGATGAGCACTCTCTAACTTGCCTATCAGTAAATACATTTGAACACTACAGGTTTTTTTGGATAGTAAGTTTTTTATATTCATTATACAGATTGAGACATTTTAATGATTTGCTTCATATGTCCTCAAGGATTAACAAAGCGAAAGTCTTTTGTGTTAAGTCTAATTTATTAATAAGACATTTAGTTGACTTCGATGGAGGTATTCAACAAACGATCGCTTCATTCAAAGTTGTCAGATCTTTTTGATTTTTTATTGGAACTCGTTCACACACTTTTCCTTCTCTCTTGTCATGAACACGGAACATGACGAACGGTATCTGAAAAGTGTAACCCGAAATAAACACTACTTCTTGCTCAATTTTATTCAGAATAAAACACGGTTAGTAAATAGATGACAGTTTTTTTCTAAAGAAAGGTTATAATGTTTTTGAAAACAATCAAATGTAAAATTTAGGAGACCATAGACGATGCGTTATGTCTTGTATGAAAAAGATAGGAGTTGTACAAGATTATCGGATTGATCAATATCTCTGCGCGCATTTGTCTAAAAGATAGACAAGAAAAACACACCGTTTTTATGCCGTTGAGCACAAATATTTTCTAATCATATAATCCTTTAGGATGTTTATAAGATCTAACAATTTTTGATAGTCTGATTTTATCGAATCCAATTGTGAGATATGTAGCTAATGACAATCTCTCACAGATCGAATACATCTGTTTTGAATGTAAGAATCAAGTGATTCTGACACGTTTGATATATGTAAATGATTCATCAAAACTCAAGAAAAATTCTAATTTGACTTGATTCGACAAAAAAGAGAACCAATACGCAAGACCAATATGGATGCAATAGTCAAAGGCATTACCAGTTTGATTCTTTCATAAACGACTTGAATCAATATTTAAAATTATTTCATTCAAGATTGTCATTAGAGTAACACGTTTTATCAATTTTTAAAAAATCACCACTATTCGTTACGTACTAACCTTGTCAAAACAATATATGCTATTCAATGCAAACAGCAATGCGCTGATGTCTATATTTACACGAGCGTATTGCAAAAAAATGATGACAAAAATGAATTAAAAAAAAACTGTTTATTAGTATTTAAATAAATAAAAAACATAATAAAATAACGAACAATACAACTTTTATGACCTATCAATGTGTACTTCCAATTTGTAATGAATTGTTGTTTACGATGACTACAGTGATTCAATGAAAACACCAATTGAATGCATAACTATATTAAATTAGTCAATCACTCGGCGTGAAACTCATTTTGACATGAATTTCACCACGAGACGACAGTCCAAGGCGAGTAGGTAATTTTATCCATTCATCGAATTCACCATCATCGAAAACATGCTTCAAACTAACTTTACCTTTACCAATTGTGTCTCTACCAATCAGATCAGCATCGTAGACATCAAAATGAATTGTGTTATCACCCTTGTGAACATTGAGTGTAAATCGTTCGTTCCATACTGGATTGTTCGTATTTTTAATTGTTATTGTACGTTGTTTATATTTTTTGTCCATGTAAATTTCAACATATGCATCATTTTCACCAAAAAAATCACAATTCTTAAGACTGCGTCCTTCGAGAATGATCACTTCCAACACACCTTTTGACATGTTATTCTCTCTAATAGATTGCAATATGAAGTAAATGAAGTTATATCTTGTTTGTTCAATATTTTGTTTCGAGTCTCTAACTTATATAGGCAAAGAGCGAGAGAGAGAACAGCGAGTTTTTTCATGCCATCGCTTCCGTTTACTCCTACTCTTTATATGATTCATATTTCTTTCTCATACATCATGATTCATTCACCTACTTCAGAAAGTAGTCGATTTGAATCAACAGCAATCTGACTGTATGTCCATATTTCAATAGATTTTCGAATCCGGTAGACTTTATGTAAATGGGTTTTTCAGACACGTGAGGATGTGGGAGTAAAGAAAAGACCTATGTCTCCACCCACGACTAATAAAACAGAGTCAAACTGAAAAATGTAGCAAATCATCGATTTTGAACTGAACTTCAATATCGACATTGATTTCCATAAAAGAGTTTGCGTATTTGTTCAGCTCTCAAATATCTTACAAGCCGAGGTATTGGAAGAACATTGAATATTCCCTATGGAGGGTATTACTTCAGCGAAGAAGAGAGATTTTCTGAACGAGAAAAATGGTGCAGACATCGTGCTAGTGATTTTAGTCTCTCAGAAAAGACAAGAAAAAGCAAGTTACACTTCACCGAGCATTTTTATATTTATGATAGCGATATGTCACTGAAATCGAAGTCGACATGTCAAGATTGATTGTTCATCTCTTAACATTAGCTTTCCATAGGGAATTCTTTATCGGATAAACTCCATCAAGGTTTCATTCAACGAAGTTACAATTCAATGCACAAAGTTGGTAGTCATTTATATTCTTGTAATGTTGCCACTGTAAACTAATTAATACAAGCACATATACTTGTTTTATTATCGCAATTTCATTCACTGCGTTTCATTTCGTGACAGTGTATAAAAAACTTTGGTGCAGAATCAAATTATTCGATGTATCACCCAATATTCTCGGGTATTTTTTTTGTGTGCAGATTTTTAAAATAATCAAATCGATTGACATGAGCGGTGTTCTTCATTTTCAAACTAGCTGATATAGGTAGCAACAAGAAAATGCTCAAATATTTGTTTTATCAGTTTCATTTCGGTTTTTAATCCAAGTTTCAATCAATGTCATGAAAATGAAATAAGTGTATGCATGTGTGTACATACATTTACGAAGAAGAACGAAAAAATGGTGCCCAGCAAAGGCCAATGAGGAGTGTGGGATTGGCCACTTCAATGATGGCTGTAGCGAACAACTATATGAATAAGTGAATCAGTGTCGATTATATAAATGCATTATTTACTTGAAAGCAACATTCCAGCACGCAGGTAGCCAATGATTCACACTTCTTCTAGATTTGCGTCGGTAGTGCATGGTATGTCTCATTTACTGGAAATCTATAAAGAATATTCTAAAGGAACTATTTCAAGTAGATGACTAAATTACACACATAGTGAAAAGGACTATGCTTTATAATTGCAAATGAATCATTCGATCGTTGTGTTTTTTTTGATTTATCGTATTCGATTATTTTGATCGGGTGTGGATGTAAATGTTACTATTTGCCTTATCTTGAGGCACATCTACATCCATCCACACCGATACTCAACAACACGCATAGCTGTACCCACGTCCATGGCGAAACGTCGTTTATTACTGATGCAGCAAACGACAAGTAATACGAATTCTTTTTCCCCACTTCACTTTAAATTAGCATTAATTTAACAAAATACATGTGTATTTGTTTTGCTTATGAATAAGTATGATTAATTCATGCTTTACAGAATTACCTGTAAATGTATATACTGCAGCCGAAGCAAAAATAAGAAATAGTGTGCATGTAGACGTTATTAATAGTCATATTATCATTGTCTGACAGGAGTAGAAAAAGCGAAATACATTTCTATTGAACCTTTTCATCTGCTGAGCTGCTCGTGTGTTGAGTTTGCTTTTCTGTGTAGCTGATTTCTTGTACAGAAAGTTAAAAAATTGTTCCTCCAGCTTAGACAAGCATACATGTCTGCGAAATCGATCGCTATTGTGCTCTTCCTTATCATTTTTGGGTCATCACTTATTCTTGCCGATGGAGTCACCATTTCGGTTAACAATACAAATTATACAATAGCTCTTGCTCAGTCGGATGGATTCTGGGTATTCAATCACCAACTTGGCACTTATCAAGGGTGCGGACGGACTGGATGTGTGACTTCACATTTTAAGTTTGTTCCTTAAGCCATTTAATGAGTGTTGTAAGAAAAATCATTTTGAAAAGACTGCAGTTAACTGTATTGCTTGAATAGAAACAGGTGTTACTTTTTTCTCGGAAATGTTTTGATTCTTAATTCCATATTTGTATCTTCAATAAAGTGGTGTTATATGATACTGGCAATAAAGTCGTATCGCTTTCCTATGTTCAAAAAGTATTGTATTGTTTTGACAATGTTTCTTCTTCTCATCCTCACCAACGTTTGTACTCTCAAGAGCTTGGTTTCTAGCGTCTCCGCAACCATCTCTAACAGATATAGGGGTGTACGTACAAATTTTCACCCGATACCCTTCAACATTCCTTTCAGATCGTGTTTCACAATATATTAGTAAAAATAACGACCTATCGAGAAAAGATTCTTCATGTTCATAAAATAATACTACAATTTGTTAAAGGCAATAATTTAGGAGTTAATGAAATGACAACAACGACTTAAAATAACAGATTTGAACATTGAATTTATTTATAATTAATTCGACGTTTCGATGAACTAAGTCATCATTATCAAGAAATAGTATGCGTAATTGAGAAACGATACATAGATCAATTAAAGAACAAAGGATTAATACAATAAAGAGAAGAGAGCAAAGAAAAAAGATCGTATCGTTTGAGTCAAGCAACATATTTATTGATAAGCTGTCTGAGAAAATAATCATAGGTACCGAGTGTGTTGTTTGATTGAGTGCAGGCTTGTATGCATGAGTCAATAAAGATGCTTTAATAAGCAGGTGATAACGATGATTGTCTTACCAAACAACACGAAATTCTGTCAAATTGATATGATGAAGAATATCCTTATCGTGTTATGAGACGGAAGAGAAAACAATACTCTTATAAACTCTGTTCCACTTTCTTGCATGATCTTGTTTTCCTGAAATCGGTCATGTTATTGCCATTATTACTTTCAGCACTGTAATGTTGTTAATTAATCAATTGATCAAATGAGAATTTGAATGTACCATACTCAGGCATATGTCGTATGCATTGCTTTCCGTCTTGCCAATGTACGTATGTTTGACAATCGGATCTTTATTGTGAAAAAATATACTGATGGTGGTGGTTTTGTAAAAAAATCACCACCATGAAGATCAGAACGTAAATTGTTTGATAGATATATGACTTTCTTTTTCATTGCATGTTTTTTTTGTCCAATAAATGGGATTTCAACATACATACGTTTTTTTATCGTATCCGACTATTCTCAATTTTGAATTCTTCATGATTATATTTCATCTTTTGTATGAATCTAATATCAATTGGGATATCAATAAATCACTATGGATGACTAAGTATTAGCTAAACCAATTCTTCTTATTTCATCAAACTCAGCCGACAATGTTGAATATGTTTTAGTAAGTACAAATGTATCATCTGCGTAGCCATGTCATTCACATACACCTCTTTGTAATAATCAATTCATCAATGCTGTTTGCAAGATGAGACATGAAAACATCTGCTATTATTGGAACTAATGAGAAGTAGTCTCAAAATTAATTCTCCGTTTACATTGATCAAGAATATAGTTAACTGTAAAGATAAGTAGAACACTGATAAAGAGACTTGCTGCATCGAACAAGGGGTGTGGATGAGGGTGAGAGTGTGGGTATCATAGAAAGAAAGACCCGAAGCCATACTGACACCATCACACCCAGACCCACACCCACATACAGAGAATTTAGTATATTGCGTGTATAATGAAACGTATTAGGTAGTATGAAAAAAAAGCTGCGAAAAGATTTCATTGATTATGTGGCATAGTTTATATTAGTCATTTAAAGCTTTGACCATATCCTCAGCGAGCTTGTGCTTAGGCACTTTTCCTAATAGTGTTCGGGGAAAATCATTCACAAATTTGATATGCCTTGGCACTATGAATGCATATAACTTGTCGCCAATGAATTTCTTAAGCTCTTCCTCTTCGCATGTCATTCCAGGTTTGAGGGCAACAAATGCACATACAACTTCATCTATGAGAGGATCGGGAATGCCAAACACGTAAACCTCGGCTACGCTTGGATGTTCATAAATAGCTCGCTCAATTTCTAGTGGATAAATATTGACACCGGCTTGAATAACCATCTCCTTTTTTCGGCCGACGAAGAACAAATATCCCTCCTCATCCATACTGGCTAGGTCACCGGTTCGAAGCCATCCATTATTAGTTATGGCGTTTGCCGTTTGCTCAGGATCATTATAGTAGCCACGCATAACCGAATAACCACGAGCCCATATTTCTCCTTCAGATCCGATCGGAAGTGTTGTTCCATCGTTGCTAGCGATTTTGAGCTCAATATGTGGCACACACCGACCAATTGATGTATGGCGTCGATCATCGTCATAATCGACGTAGAGAGTACTACTGAGAAAGGTTCCGCTCTCGGTCAGACCATATTCTTGACCGATGCGACCAATTCGAAGTTCTGCTTCGAGCATGCGTAAGAAATCTGAGTGTACAGGTGTTGAGCCAACCCCAACATATTGTAATGAGCTCAAAACGTATTTATGTCGATCTGGATGTGCGAGAATACGGCGAAGGAAAGCTGGACCGCTAAACATACTTGTACACTTTTCTTCATGGATTGCGCGCATGGCGGTTTCGGGATCGTAATTTAAAGCTGGTATGACGATCTTGCAAAGATTCGTCGACGGCAAAAGAGAACCTAACACACCGGATGACATGTGGTGCATCCCGACATATGAACAATGCCGCAATATGTACGAGCCATAGTAGAATGTAAACATTGCGATAGTGTTAAACACTCCAAAATTCGTATAAGTAACCGCTTTAGGCTGCCCCGTTGAGCCCGAAGTCAGAAAAATTGACAGCGGCAGCTCTGGATCAACTGAGCCTATTTCATGTTCGGTTGGATGTTGCTTGTTTTGTATGATTAACTCATTGTACAAATGCGTATCTCGAATATCAGCAAGCGGATTTCGATCCAATCCAGTCAGAATGATGTGCTTGAGAGTCGGTACACTCTTGCGCGATTCATCTTCGAGATCAGGCACTGCCAATTTCAGCGTACTCAGCACACTATCGATTCCAGCAATTACAATACCCTTACAACCAACTTTATTGAGACCATAGGCTACTTCACGAGCTACGGAAGCAGGGTTCATATGCAGCTAAGAACAAAGCATTAAAATGATTTCATCAGTTACAGAAAAATTTGCATTTTTCAGATAGATTAAATTGCAACGATTGTCAGTATAGATATGGGTAGACTTAAAGGCAAAAGGTACAAAAAATAAACGCTTTTCAATTTTTATTGTTGAAGTACTTTAACTGATGGAAACTGTTCTTAGAGGATACGGAAGAAAATTTTCATATTGACGAAGTGATCACCTTAGCTCATTTACTGATTGTTCAACACTGAAATCCTGAAACTTTTACTATTAGTGTTTAGTCAAATATATTCAGTTGTAGTTCAGAAAAATATTAGATCAGTACTGACTAACTACTGATTCCACTGTTGAGTAGAGTACTGATGACCTGGCAGTAGTATGATACAACTGGATATAGTAGTGAAATATCACATTCAGTACTGGTATCCTATAACAATTGTAAGAATATTGCCTTCAATACTGGATTACTGAACACACTACTAGCCGCATTCTTGACTATAGTCCTACTAGCACTAGAAGCTACTATTGCTCCAACCACTTATGTCAATCAATCGAACATTTCCTACTTACATATCAATGTGGTATTTAGATCAAACATCTTTGTATTGAATTTGTCAAGGATCACAATTCGGATGGCAAACTGATCGATGGGAATACATCGATAAGGCAAGTTTTGCTTTTCTCATCGAATGTATTTTTCTCTTTTCGGCTCATCAACTGGCAATCATCGTTGCAATGGCAAACCAATCGATGGAAATAATCGATTAGGTAAATCGCTCTTTTTAAAGAATAAATCGCCTGTATACTATCACAATATTCGATTGATAGAGCATGGCGAGTGGGTATATACCCTGAACTTGCTCAACTTTCTGAGTCGTTGTTGCTAAGACATCGAATTATTAATAAACTTCTGCTGCAGGATCCTATTCTTAAAGTAACATCAAACTTTAAAACTTTGACATGAAACGTTGACCCAAGTGGGTAATTACAGTACCTCATTACCGAAAATTGTGTTGATCGCATAAAGACCCGATTAAGATAACCTGTAAAAAATTTCACGATTTCTAATAACACTTCTCCAAAATATAATTTTTTCAAAATCTAGGCACTTGGTCACGGTTATTTGGAAAAACAGGAATATTTTGAAAAATTCATATCTTGAAGAGACTTTGATAAAACACTCTGAAATTATTTTTATAAGCTAGTCTTGCTGGAGTCTTATACGGAGCATGTTCTACATCGAAGTTCAATATTATCTTTTTGCTTCGAAATGAGTGTCCTGGAAGAAAATTTCCCTATAAAGTCAATATCTCAGTAGTAAATACTAAAAAACTCGAATGAGTCCTGAGTACTTATGTTTTCAATACTCCCTGCCAATGAAATGTATTCATATTATAAAAACAACTCATGTTTGAAGGTTTGCTTGTATCCAGATGGAGAAACTTGATGATCGAATCTGAAAAGATTCGATCAGATTTAATCTCAGATTGTGACGAAACTGAAGAGATTGGGTACGATCTTCGAGTGTACCTCAAGAACGTCTTATTATAATATATTTTTGCTACCTCCTGGTTCCAGTTCTGGAGAAATAAGTAAAAGAATTGTTCACAAATGTAACACAAGATAGTTAGATTAAAGTAAGCTTTCTGTGAATACCAAGAACAGCTGCATCGTGTTTTACATTTTAATTCCACAGGGATTGCGCTAACAGCTTTCTTTTATATATTAAAGTGGTATTTTTAAGCATACAATGCAGTTTGATTCGTTCTAATTTGGATATTATTCATCAGTGCACTAGATTCCATACAACTATATATATGCATTTGAATAAAAGGAAAGAAAGATGTTTTCGATCTTTGAGGTTATTTCAGGTCCCAACAATCTCAATAGATCGTATTCGGAATTATACTGGAGCAATATAATTACGGATCACTTCTGATACAATTCTAATAAAAGACTTTCGAATCATTTGAAGGATACAATATAGCCTTATCGTCCTTTACTCTTTCTGTTTTTTTGCACAATTTGGATTTCAAATGTATCTAGATGAATTCTTCAAACACTTCAACTTCGTCAATCGTCCGAGAAAAAAGTAGATTTATGCATTGTGTAGACATTACATACCTTAATCAGACCAAGTTTAGAGGCGACATAGCTGAGAACAAGATTTTCAGAACAACTTGGTAACGACACAGCCAGCCGATCGCCTCTCTGAAATCCAAGTTTCAGAAGAGACATTGACAAACAGTCGATTTCATTTTTCAGAGTCGCATATGTGAATCGTTTATTGGCGGCTATTGAAACAAGACAACAGTAGTATCAACGTATAGTTGATAAGACATACCTTTGAATACATAGCATTCATAATCAGGATGTCGCGAGGCAATCTCATCGAAACTCTGTGCAATAGTTTTGTATTTATAAGGCAATGAGCAAGCATTATGAACATAGCTTAGCCTGAGTTTTGTTGTTGGAGCATCTTCAGCTGTTAACATTTCTAAAATAAACAGAACAATTCATTCCGACTCTTATTTATCTACATGTGGGTATCTATTATCACCTAAACGCACTGAATCTAAAATGACTACAGGTAATAAATTTATCTCGTCAAACAAAGTGCCTCTTAGATAACAAGTTCGGTCATAAACTACCATATTACACTACGTGCCTTCTTAAACAACACGTATTAGTGAACAAATCGAAGCGGATTTCACTGGTTCGCGTTTGTAAATGGTCGCAATGTGGTGTGGGTGTGGGTTTATGGATGAACGTCTGACATCCAAAGCATCAATGGTAAACCGAAAAGCACGGTTAAAAGGTGGAACATAATTCTCTAGAATATCATCTGAGATTGTTGTTAATTTATTTTCTAATATATAACGTATACTATTGTTTTATAACGCTAGAACTTGATCTTCTATGTCAAAATAATTTTTCCATAAAATTCTTTTTTTGATCCCACCCTTAGAAAGACCAGGAGTAAGTTTTTCTATCAACAAAGAGGGTTGCACAATTTTTTGAAATGTCCTCAAGCCTATTGAGCTGTAGAGGCTAATGCAGAATATTATATTGGTTACTATACAAATTGTATTCTTCTAATCGAAATCTACTAAGTATAAGGGGAAAAAATCATTAAGTCATATCTTGAGAATATTTTCTTAGGAATGTCTTTGTGTAAACAATATTTTTTCTTCAAATGTTGGTACCCAATTTTGAACCGTTTCCAGAGTATTATCGAGCCACAAGAATATTAGCCTGATCGATCTTCAAATTGATAGATAAAAAGAGTTATTCGTCTTCAACATCCAGGTTTGGCGTGCGTACGACAGCCACTGACCGTTGAGAATTTGACATGGCAGAAATGATATTCCTATAACGAGGGAATATCATCAGTTATCGATTCCCTTCTTACATTGTGCAATCACGTAGAGTACTAAAATATCTCATCATGTACTAGCTGGTACCACTTTTTTCAGTGAAAAAGCAAATACTCTCTTTATGAGTATCGATTATATCTTTTTTCAATTCAAATCTCATCTAAAAGCTATAAAAATGGAAGCTAATACTTACCAATAATAATATGATGGTCTCGAGTTCTGAAAACAGAATAAAATCACAATAATATTCCTTTGATCAGTAATATAGATAAGAAAGATATTCGAAAAAATATAATTTTTCTTTGTTGGAAATTTATCGTACAAATAAATTCCCCTTCACAACACTGATCCATTAAAAAAAAACGAAGATTATCACTGAAATCAATACAGAAGCAATAAAATTATATTGATAAGGATAAGTAGTAATTTGATAGAGCTTTGATTCTATTACCATAAAATGACCTGAAATAAAAAGATTCCACTTCTTCAACTTTCACACCTATGCTAAGAGAACAATGAATAAAAGAAGAATCGAACTATCATATGGAACTGATATACAGTTCATTGTCATAATGTATATAAAGGTATCGAAGATACTGAAAAACTCATTCTTCTGGTACCAGTCAATCAGTCATTGATATCCTAATTCATTCAAAAGACGAAGAAAATACATAATAATCATTAGAGTAGTACTATTTATGGGTCATGTGCACATACCCCTACCTGGGTTTTAGTACAAAATTAGTGGGCACAGGCACGAAGAGTTGACTTCATGCAGTACGCTAATAATCATCTGATTGATAACTACTGCAACTATATACTGTCAATATAAAGTCATTTAGAAAATTTAAGCCAATATCTGCCGAATACAAATGAAATGATAGTGCAATGGAGACACGAAAATGTGCATCAATTGGAGAAATATTTCTATAAATTCATTGAATAATTTGTTACAATCGCAATAGTGACATTATGATTCCAAATACTTCCGGTTTTCTACAGAAAACATGTCAAGTATAGTCGCTCTATTCAAAAGCACTGTTTCATATCATATCATTATTAAAATCTTGAACCCAATAGATATTTCTACGTTATAACTAAGGAACGGTATGATAAGAGGTATTATAAACCAAGTATTTGTTCATTTTTTTAATCTTATCACAGGGGAAAGTTAGGACATAAAGCTCTGATCGTGTTTTGAATCATTTTCTAGAGCTTATATCAAACAACCAAAACTTTCTCGAGAAGAAGCGGTCTTTTAATTAAAAAAAAATATGCATACATTTTCATAAAAACAGCAAAAATAATGTATTTTGAGAAACATTCTCGCACGTTTTGCGGGAAGTTGCTAGCACTTTATAATCAACATTTTTCTTACTAAAAGATGCGTCTTTTGACGCTCTAAAAAACTGTATAAAATTTGTCTCAAGTTCTTGAAAATTAACTGCATAACACAAGCAAGAAAGGTACAAAAAAGCATATAAAATAGAACGAAAAAAATGGCCGATTTCACCTATTATAATGGATTTTCCTGGCTTACAAGGTGAATAATGAGGTATATGAAATATAGAGTTTTGTAGAGCAGCTTCTGCTCTATTGATTGGTATAATTTGGTAAATGGTGTTGACCAAATTTTGTGAGGAGAAAATTCATGAACAAAAATGATTGAAAAGCTATAGTTTTTTGACAAGCCGATGTTTTGGGTGAAAACTATAAGGTGATCGAAATATAAGAAGATATTGTTTAGAAGTTGTCAAAATTTTGCATTTCTAAATAACTTTTTGTTTTTTCAAATTAGCAAAATTATTTCAAAAACTAAAATTGTTCAACAACTTCCCTGGATGGCGATCTCGTGGATGCTCTTAAAATACACATTAATTTCCTTTGAAATCACATACCAACAAATATAAACGATGATAAAAAATCTAAAAAACCTAAACAAAAGAATAAAAAGTTAGAGATGAAAATGAAATTTATGAAGGAATTTTAAACATGTTTGAGATAAAGAAACGAAAACCTACATGTACAATATTTTTCAAAAAATTCAATGGAAGAGATATGATCAAAATTGAAACATGAGTTTCACAAGATTTTTTTCGACATTCTTTATATTTCTTGAAAAAAACTTATGTTGATTGAAAGTTATATCAGTTTCACTTCAAATTCAAGAACAAAAAAATACCACAGATAGTGAAAATTTCGACATAAATATATGAAGTCTTTTTTTTTTAAGTTAGCCTTGCGAATTTTTTTATTTAAAAATAGGTGTTTGTAAGATGCCATCTTAAGCATTCGATCTGAAAAAAGTCTACAAATCCATAGAAATGAACACACATTGTTCTGATAAGATTATGAAAATAAGAAATCGATCTTCATATTATTTGTTCGTAAACAAATAAGTGGTCTTATATATCAGTATTGTCAAACTCGAAACTTGAATATGATCATGCAAGTATTCACTTATTTAAATATACGAGTATTTAGCTGATTAATTATTTCAGTTTTCGGCTGTTCAAGTACTCGGGTATATAACCATGCCGTCACTTTTACTTCCTGATATAAAACTCACCATCAACGTGGTTTTCAATACTCGAATAGTTGAATCCAATTGTCAAGTTTTAGATTTATGCATGATTATTAATTCATCAATCTCAAACTTCTTTTTTTCAGACTCAACAATTAAATGGAACACATTGATTCAAGATAGATAAAAAAAATCTATTTATCTTATTTTTATTTTCATGAATTTCTTTCATATAGAATTGTAGAAGAATAAAGTGGATAGCTGTTCTTACCACCATCATTCTTCTAATGTTACTCTCTACAAGAGAACATATCGATCCGGTCTCGGATAAGCTTCACATATTGTTCTTGGTGTACATGATTGTGTTATTGTGTATGTGAATCTTTCCGTTTAACACCCACACCCTCTGTAAGATTTGAAATTTGTTATCAATCACTTTTTTGTTCATAGATTTATTCATTCATTAGCAAATGGAATTCTTCGAAAGTGCTACAGAAACAAATCCTATTCGGATAGTTCGTCGAACGGCTCTTACGAGGGAACCTTTTCAGATGATACCCTCCGTTTTGATTCGTTCGTATCTCATTTAATCGAGTATATTGAGGTAGTAAAAAGTCTAAATGGATTTTTCCCCAATGTTCTTCCTTCAAAAGTTATGGTCGTTTTATTGAATTTTCGACCCATTCCCAGGTATTTACGAAAAAATCAAAATAGGGAATTTCGACTTGATAATTCGCCCATAGATAGGCCTAATGGCCCTTAGAATATCCTGAAAGTTTCAGCTACAAAGAATGTTCCTTTCTTGAGATATTGAATTTTCAAGTGAACTCGGTTTTTGTGACCAATCTGTGGCAGGCGACTATTTTTTGAAAATTCAATATCTTAAGAAAGGAACATCCTTNACCCACACCCACACCCACACCCACACCCACACCCACACCCACACCCCACACCCAACATAAGTTAAAATCCAATTGACATAAAATGAAAAAAAAAAGATTAAGACAAAACTGGTCTATTTATTCTTTTTTAAGTGATGCATGTCATAAAGAATATGAAAGAACTTTTATCGTTATCAAATGTAATATCATCATATGACAAAGTAAAATTCTATTATAAAATGAATAAAAACATACGCACTTAATGTTTAGTTTAAAGAAAAATGAAATATATTCTCTATTTATATATAATCGTGGTGTTTTTCATCACCATTTCCTTTAGTAGCCCAACATTATCATCATTAGATCAATCATGGACATTATTCAAACGCATCTATAACAAACAACATAATTCAATCGATGATGAACAAGCTCGGTAAAAATAATAATAAAAACTTGAATTAAAAATAAATTAATTTTTACAGACGAGTTATTTGGGAAAAAAATGTTGAAACGATTCAAAGACATAATTTAGAAGCTGATTTAGGTATTCATACATACACTATGAAAGTGAATCAATTTGCCGATCTCGTTAGTTTCTCTTATTATTTATTTCTAATTAATATCTCTCTGTTAAATAGACACTTGAAGAATTTGTTAAAAAAATGAATACACTGAAAATAAATGATCAAAAGAGAAAAAATAAAAAATTTGATATTCCATCAAATATTGTTCTTCCATCATCTGTTGGTAAAATAATTTTGTTTTATTAAATAATTATTTTTTAAAAAAAGTGAATTAGATTGGCGCACAAAAGGATATGTGACACCAGTTAAAAATCAAGGACAATGTGGCTCGTGTTGGGCTTTTTCAACAACTGGGTCACTTGAAGGACAACATGCTAAAATATCTAAAAATCTTATTTCTTTATCTGAACAACAGCTTGTTGATTGTTCCACAAACTACGGAAATTATGGTTGTGAAGGTGGACTTATTGATCCATCATTTCAATATATTAAAGATAATAATGGTATTGATTCTGAAGATAGTTATCCTTATGAAGCCAAAGATTCAAATTGTCGATTTAATATTAAAAATGTTGTTACAAATGTTACTGTATGTATAGTATTGAAATATTAATTTAAAAAAAAACTAAATTATTTCTAAAGGATTTTGTCGATATAAAATCTCAATCAGAAATAGATCTTCAATATGCACTTGCAACTGTTGGTCCAATAGCAGTAGCTATTGATGCTAATCATGATTCATTTCGTTTTTATTCATCAGGTGTTTATTCTGAAGCAAGTTGTTCAACAACATTACTTGATTTTTCTCTTTTGGCTGTTGGTTATGATACAACTAAAGATAATTTAGATTATTATATACTTAAAAATCAATGGACAACTAAATGGGGTAATCAAGGTTATGTTTGGATGAGTAGAAATAAAGATAATCAATGTGGAATTGCAACTATGGCTAGTTACCCACTTGTTTAATCAAATGTATCAAATTATTCTATTTTATTTATAAATAAAATATTCTTTTCATCGAAATAGTCTGATTAGCTATACGGAGTGTGGGTGGACGCGGGTGTGGGCTGTGAGTATGAATGAAATGACGATAACAATAGAGGATCTCAATGAACACTTTATCTTGAGCGACACTAGTGGTAATTCAAGTTTAATCCCTGTTTACACACGAAATGTTGAAGATAAAATGCGAAAAATAAAAGCAGTTATTAGCTGATTTATCGCTCAAACTACTCTCTTTCATTTGATAAAATTGAACATAGGCACAAACATCATATCTCGTGCACACACATCTAGGATCCAACGTGAGAACATGGATATATCAAAAGAGATGACGAACTACGGTTAGAAGTGATAATATCACAATAAAGAGAGCTAACGAAGAAGAAGGTAGCATTGTAGTGCGTATTCAAATCGTATAGAAAGAAACTATGCATCAATATTAGTCAAAAATCCGAGTATTTTGACTATGAGTTCATCAGGCAACGGCTCAGAATTTGATAATACCATTGTCGACACTGAAGCAAATAAGATTTCAGTGAAATGATATCAAATAGATGTTCAATAATCTAGACATGTGGTGAGCATGCGAGTGTTTGTTGTTTCTTCACCTAAAACCATTCGATCCCACACTAACATCGTCAGAACTCATAAGCTCCTTTATGTGTAATGCTTTGTGGTAAGAACTGGTTTTATTAGCCAATAAAGAACTTCAACAACTTTTAGAAACCAGTAGGATATAAAAACTAAAACTAAGACTCGGGCAGACAGAAGAGTCAAAGTTGTCCAGAAAACTCATGAAAACTATTGAAGATTGAAAAATAATAGCTTGTCGTTCTGATGGACTTGCTTTTTCCTATCTGAACTATTGAATAAATTAAACTATTTAGCGCAAACACATTCAATTCTGGAGTTAATTAATGCGCATTGAGTAGGTCTTTTAATTTGAAATGAATAGTAGTCACATGCAGAAGGAAAGAAAAAGAAATCTAGTAAAAGTATGTGCAATGAAGATTAAAATTATAAGTATAAAATTTCTCGCATTGCTATTTATTACTTCATGGATAGAGCGTCGGAAAAAGAGGGGAAATGCGTGGAAAACAAGTCCTATTCAGTGAGTCACGGAATGTAACCCATAAAAAAGCCTTAAGTTTTTTGTTTTAAATTAAGTTAAATAGAGGATTGTAGAGAATCAAATGCTGCATCTTCTGACAGAAAACTTAGCAATATATCTTATTTCTCAACTTAAATACTTGTAAGGGAAGAATGCTGCGAAACTTTTGCCACATCAGGCATACATAAATATGAGATAAAAATACAGCTCTTTGGATATCTTTTAGAAACACTTAGTAAAATACACTGACAACATCTGTAAGTCAAAGTAAGTCATTGCTTATATTACACAGGTGCTCATAGTACGTTTGAAAACTTGTTGTACACTTGAAATTCGTCTGAATTCAAGCAAGATTCGTTTTTATGTTTCACATTCGTCTGTTTAAGTCGAGCGTTGTCATTGAGAAGTATACTACTAGAACGTATGATAGAGTATGCCGATAACATCAGCCAAGCATACCTACTTGTTGATGAGAGAGAACAGCAAAGAGTGCGTGTCAATGTTGAATTTACGACACGTGATCTCATAAGTTTCCAAATCAGAACACGGCAAGGAAATAGGGTGTGGGTGTGAATATTCTTCAAAGGCACACCCACACTCCGGCTCTTCAAATCCTATTAGCTTTTGCCAATTTAAAGTTTCATTTCATTGTTGAATTAATTAAAATTAATGAACACCCTGTCTAATGAAAAGTGTATACGCTCTGAAAATCTTATCAAGATGATCCATTCCGAAATAACGTTAATACAGTTTTGTTCAATTTTCATTGCTGTTTCATATGACATATACAAAAGCCGGTAATAAATCAAAATTTCATTAATTAACTACAAATTATTAATAACTACTAATTAATCAATCATTAATTAATACTCCAACATAAGAAAAAGTACTTTGTACCAAAATGTAGCCCATTAAATTCTGCATCGAATGGTTTATAAAGCAGTTTTCAACTATCGTAAAATAATGAAAAAATTAGCTAAATACTAAGAATGTGCTAAACTTTTTTCCGCTAGACAAAATGCATTTGTCTAGTAAAACGTAAAACTTTCATGCTTGGGAAAATGTCAACATCTCAGTCTTGTAGCCCACTTTGAGATCTATCGAAATCACTATTTAGATATTCTCAATAAGTTATTCTTCACGAGAAATTAAAACAATAAAAAGTGTGCTAAACTTTTTTCCTCCACTTTATATACATCGATAGAACACGAGTATATGGGCATAGATCAGTGTGGATGTCGCAGCGAAACGATGGTCGAGCAAAAACTAACATCTCTACTCGTACTGCATTGCATTTCTTTGAGAGATGTTGAGAACATGATAGTGAGCGATCATTCTCGAGAAGGATTGTAGAGCGAATACTATTCCTGGCAAAACCATTCACTACAACCGCAGGCAAAGTAGAATTTTGTTACTGTATCTCGCTGATAAAACTGAAATTAACAGCAACTCTCAACTCTGGCTCACCGCAAAGCGTGATCGAATGGCTTGCTGCCTGGTGGCAACAAAAGCAAGTACGAGGGTGTACGCTTTGGTCTTAAGCCGCATTAATGCGATGCACAACAAGAATGCAATAATATCAAAAGAAGAAGAACAGCAACATAATTCCTTTGAAATCCGATTCGTAAATATCACTAGTTTTTTTAATATTCGTATTGCTCTGCATAACNTATTTTAGAGAAACGAATGCCTCGTAATAAAATATCTGATAATATCGAAGGGGTCGTCAAATATCTTTTGACTAAAAAGTATTCGTATTCTGTGATACAACAAGAATTATCTGAAATGAATCTTAATGTATCAAAAAGTACTATTAGTCGTATTGCTAACAAACTTGGAAAAGAGTGCCGATTAGGTTTATTAAATAATCAAAAACCAAAATTTTATCGTCGCCGCCATGTAGCAACACCTGCAACTGTTCGTCGTATTACGTCATATATAAGTAAAGAAAATCTTCCAACAATCTTGCTAATGGCTGCAAGGTGTAGTATTAGTGTTGGTACTGCTGTTAGTATTATTCGTGATATTATCCATGCAAAATATGGTAAAAAAGGCCGGTAATCGTTTATATCCAGCTGTTATTGAAAAGAGACGATCTCGAGTTTGGCGTATGTATCGTCGATTATGCAATGAAAAATATAGAAGTTATGTAACAACCGACGAAGCATGGTTTTATCTCAATGAAAGTCAAGATGTTAGAGATATATATTATGTCAGAAGTGATGGATTACCAGAAGAAGTTAAAAAAACCGAACGAAATGATTTATATCCGGTGGCTGTGCTGGTTTAGACCGGTGTAAGCACACATGGTAAAACTCAGTTACATTTTATTGAGCATGGTTCAACAATTACCAGTCAATACTATATTGAACATATAATAGAACCGTTTATTAAATATGTTATTCCTCATTTATTTCCTGGTGATACACGAAAGAAAATGATTCTTCATCAAGACAGTGCACCAGGTCATACAGCAAAAGGGACAGTTAGTTATATGAAAGAAAAGAAAATCCAAGTTATTACACCTGCAGAGTGGTTACCTAAGAATCCAGACGCTGCTCCGATGGACTATTCGATTTGGTGTATTTTGAAAGAACGGGTAAGAAAACACAAGGTGTCAACATTAAATGGGTTGAAAAATGCTATCAAACAGGAGTGGGAAAATCTTGAACAGGATGTAATCTACCATGCTTCGGAGAATTGGCCAAAGCGTTGTAGATTAATTTACTATGCTCATGGATTACATATCGAACATCTATTACAATAAATGTATAAAAATAAAAGAATGAGAAACATTCTATTTTGTTTCAAAATAAACTGAACGACCTGTATGTCAAGATTTTTTTCTCAAACACTTGTATTACTTTTCAACTGTGATAAGTAACATCGACTTTTTAAGGTCCTAATAGTGGCTAATCACTTTGAATAGAGAGTTCTCAATAAAGCACTATATTATACATTTTTATTAATAAGCTTCTGAAAGTTTCAGATAGGAAGGCCAACTTATCATTTCCTTCTAACGATAAAGCGGGCAGTGATCGATTTCTTCATTTTGGAGATTGAAAAATTTAATTTAGTGCTCCGAATATTTAAACTAAATGTTGGAAGTCATGATTGAAATAATACATATTTTTGTTATTTCAGCTGGCTTTATAGATTTCACTTTCTGAAAATATAAAAAATTTAATGACCATGAACGTTTTCACACTGGTGTTTAATCGGCTATTGCCGCTTTGAAGATGCTGCGACTGCTATGCATTATTTCGTCACCTGGAGCAAGAATGTTTAGGGCTAGTCTCTTAAAGTTCATACTTTGAGTACGATGGAATTTATTAAGCAGAAGCAGATATGAATATTATTTTAGAAAAACTTAGATAAAAGTTCAAGCATCTTATTGGGAAGAGCCATTTTGAGTACGTTCGACGTGGGTTAAGACGTAACTTCTAAAATTGGCAATGTAGTGTGCAAATAGAATATATCATGGACACAGACTTGTCGTATTCAAATTATAGAAATAATCAGATTTAGAGAAAAATCAAAAGTTTACGAGTTCATTGCTTTTGAGCATCAATAGATCAGTTTTTGGAATTGAACATCTAGTTCATTATTTTTTATCGATGAAATTCCAATTTTTTTTGCGCACATAAGTACTTGACTGTTTTACAGATCAAGTCCCTAATGAAAAAATTTCTTTCAAGTGAATTGATATTAGGAAACTTTAATTTCATAAATTTTTTATTCACAACGATTTCATAATCAGATCGAACAATATACAATAAAATAGAAAAAAATAGTGAATTCATGGGTGTGGGTTGTGGTGGCTGTGGGGTGTGAGTGTGAGTGTGGGTGTAGATGTGGGTGTGGGGTGTGGGTATGGGTGCGAGTGCGGGTGTGGGTGCGGGTGTGGGTGTGGGGTGTGAGTGTGAGTGTACCTCTTATCTTCATGCCCACACCCACACCCACACTGACACCCACACTCACACCCACACCCACACTGACACCCACACCCACACTCACACCCACACCCACACTCACACCCACACCAACACCCACACTCACACCCACACCCACACTCACACCCACACCAACACCCACACTCACACCCACACCCATTATCTGCAGACAAATACAGATTGAAAGATTGAAAAAACAGGAAACCAAGAATGAACGGATTCAATGATGTAAGAAGTACGTACAATAGTGTATCCGGGCAAGAAGGATTAATTTATGCAAAAGACAGAAATAGTATTGTTAAATCTCAGCAACCAAAAACAAAAAGATTTATACACTAGAGCTATCATAAGCTACTATGTCTTAAACTGGAAGGACAATACGAGAATATGAATACAGGAATCAATACTGTGAACAGGTAACTATACGGCCAGATCCACAAATATTTTTCTATTGCAGAAATGGAAAGGTGACTGACACTCAAAATCTTCATTTCACTGTTGCGCGAAATGATGTAGAAATTGATCAACATCATTTTTCTCCAGCAAAAAAGTAAAACTAGCCAATGAGTTTGCACAGTTTTAACCGATACTGCACGTATTTAACTTAACTAGTTAGGGTGTGGGCGTGGGTGTGGGTGTGGGTAGGTGGGTGGGTGCGTGGGCGTCGGATGTGGGCGTGGGTGTGGGTGCGGGTGTGGTTTAAATGGACAATAATACCCACACCCACACCCCACACCCACACCCACCAACCCACACCCTTCGACGCATCAGTTTTCTTTGTGTTCGCAAATGAGAGGTAGTCTCCACACCCACACTCTGCAATAAACTCTGGATGTGGATGTCGGGTGAGCGTCGTCTTGAACTCATGTAACAGCTACACTCATCTACATGCATCCACTGTCAAATCCACATCCGTATCCATCCTTAATAACTTCTAACGTATCAGATGACGAGAAATTTCAGTTTTCAATTATTATTTTAATTAAATTAAACTATCTTTATACTTGTTTTCGCTCAAATTATTAAATGATGTTTCTAAAAATGGAAACGAAGTCACATGATCACGTTTATTTTTCGTTCCTAGGAAGTAGAAAAATGGTTGTTTTAAATTGCTGGAAGACAGCGATGTAATACATTACGAATGCGAGTCATTTTTTTCAGTTCATACTTATAATTCAGTTTCAATTTGCGATCACTTGAAGTTTGCTATTCAGAGTCAACAAATAAGAGCACATTTCGCGCTGTGAAAAAAATTTATGAAAAATAGATCTTTACTCTATCAATCGAGAAAATTATATGTGTTCCACTACAAAACAAAGTCTGATTACTCTCGATATCTTATCACGCAGCAAATACATTAAAAATTGGGCAGATAAAAGTTACATGAAACACTATCTATAGTAAAAATGAACATGATAACAAGTTTGACACCATTATCGAACAACATGGAGTTTGCTCAATACATGACAAGAAACTATGTGATTATCTGGATCGATGAGAATGTTAACCCAAACAGTGGACACTGCAAAAATACACTCACTTACCTGAAAAAAATTACTGATGATGTGTATTTTTTTACCCAACTGGACGAAGTCGTAGATTATCTCACTGATATCAATGATCAAAAAGCATTCCTCATTCTGTCAAACCACATGGACCAAGATATGATACCCATCATCCATGATATTCCTCGTCTTGAGGGTATCTTTATATACTGTAGCACAGAAGCTTTAATCCATGATTGGAACAAGAATTTGACCAAACTTAAAGGTATATACATAGATGTCACACGATTGTGTAACGCACTGCAAGATGCATTGAAACAGTGTTATCGAAATGATATAGCCATGAGTTTTCTCATCGTCGACGAAGACCAATCGAAAATAAATCTAGATCAATTAGAACCATCGTTTATGTACACTCAATTGTTTAAAGAAATTGTGCTGGAAATAGATCACATTAACGAAGAAATCAAAGATTTTATTCAACTTTGGCGTAATAAAACCAAAGACAATAAAACAGTATTGAGCACAATTCAAGAGTTCGAAAAGGACTATAGTCCTGACAAGTCAATTTCTTGGTACAGTCGTGCACCTTTCATCTATGAGACACTTAATTGGTCACTTAGAACGATGGATACTCTATCAATGAAGAGTTTGAGTTTCTTCATTAAAGATCTTCATTACCAGCTCAAACAATTAAACAAACAACAGTTTAAACAAACACAGAGTGAAGCTTTTGTTGTTTATCGCGGACAGGGATTATCCAAATCTGACTTCGAGAAACTCAAAAAAGTCAGGGGCGGTCTGATATCCTTTAACAATTTCTTATCGACCAGTCGCAATCGTGATGCTTCTCTTGTCTTCGCTGAAAGTAATGCATCAGCACATAACATCATTGGGATTCTCTTCATAATGACGATACCACCGTCACTTCAATCTACTCCATTTGCCTGCATTCAACATATCAGTCAATATCCGGATGAAGAAGAAATACTCTTTTCTATGCACACGGTTTTTCGTGTAATCGAAATCGAACCGATCCACAACAATCCATACCTATGGGAAGTACAGATTACTCTAACTAATGACGATGACCCACAACTATCTGTTTTGACACAGTATTTACGCCAGAATATCGGTGGAACAGGCTGGAATCGTATGATTCTTTTGATGCTACTACTGAATCACTACCATACAGCGGAAGAACTATGTAATCACCTACTTATGACACCATTAACTGACCTTGAACGTGCAACTCTGCTGCACAACCTTGCTTCAATCGAACAGCAACGAGGTGACTATTCAAAAGCACTTTCAACTTACAAAAGATCACTTGAAATCCAAAAAGCAGATCTCTCTCCGAATCATCCCTCGTTGACTACTTCATACAACGGTATTGGATTACTGTACTCTCACATGGGGGAATACTCAAAAGCGCTTTCAACGTTAGGAAGGTCGCTCGAAATTCTTAAAACAGTTCTTCCTCCAAATCATCCCTTTTTGGCTGCTTCACACAACAACATCGCTTTAGTGCATGGTAATATGGGAGAATACTCGAAAGCACTTTCTTCGTACGAAAGGTCACTTGAAATTCGGAAAATAGCTC